CAGAGCAGCTAACAGCAGGAGTTTGCCTGGGAGTTCGCCTGGGGAGAGCCCACTGAGGCTTACATCTTGCCAGCTACTCTGAGTCGTTACTGCATCTCCTGAGGAAGTTCGTAGAAGGAAGGTAATATGGATGGGGGGGTGTTCAGCTGTTGTGACCTGCACTGGATGTGCCATGTTTGTCTTTCTTCCACAGGACAGAAGCAACTTTGTCTGTACAAAGTGCAAGCTGGTCTCCATATCGGAAGAGAAGGTTCAAGGTCTGGAGAAACAGGTATCAACCCTGCGTTGCATAAGAGAAACTGAAGATTTCCTGGACAGATGTCAGGATATGCTTCTACGGGCACAAAGTTCTGAAGATTCACAGCAGGCTGCACAGCAGGGACAGGGGGCTGGTGAAGAAATTTGGCATCATGTGACCTCCAGAAGAAGAAAGGGGAACGTCCATGTACCAGCAATGCAGATACAGGTAAGTAACCGTTTTCGTGTTCTCTCCACAGGTACTAATGTGGAGGGTGGACCAGATGATACGTCTGAGGGAAGGGAGCAGAAGGAGACTCCGCCAGTTGGAAGGCATGAGATGCACTGTCCTAGGGTTGGGGGTTCCATGACCACCGCTCCCAAGAGAAGGAGGCGGGTGGTGGTGGTCGGGGACTCTCTCCTCAGGGGGACTGAGTCATCTATCTGCCGCCCCGACCAGGAAAACCGAGAAGTCTGCTGCTTGCCAGGAGCTAAGATTCGTGATGTGACGGAGAGACTGCCGAGACTCATCAAGCTCTCGGATCGCGACTCCTTCCTGCTTCTCCACGTGGGCACCAATGATACTGCCAAGAATGACCTTGAGCAGATCACTGCAGACTACGTGGCTCTGGGAAGAAGGATAAAGGAGTTTGAGGCGCAAGTTGTCTTCTCGTCCATCCTCCCCGTGGAAGGAAAAGGCCTGGGTAGAGATCTTCGAATCGTGGAAGTCAACGAATGGCTACGCAGGTGGTGTTGGAGAGAAGGCTTTGGATTCTTTGACCATGGGATGGTGTTCCAAGAAGGAGAAGTGCTAGGCAGAGACAGGCTCCACCTAACAAAGAGAGGGAAGAGCATCTTCGCGAGCAGGCTGGCTAACCTAGTGAGGAGGGCTTTAAACTAGGTTCACTGGGGGAAGGAGACCAAAGCCCTGAAGTAAGTGGGGAAGTGGGATACCGGGAGGAAGCACGAGCAGGAGCGTGTGAGAGGGGAGGGCTCCTGCCTCATACTGAGAAAGAGGGGTGATCAGCGGGTTATCTCAAGTGCCTATACACAAATGCACAAAGCCTGGGAAACAAGCAGGGAGAACTGGAAGTCCTGGCAAAGTCAAGGAATTATGATGTGATTGGAATAACAGAGACTTGGTGGGATAACTCACATGACTGGAGTACTGTCATGGACGTATATAAGCTGTTCTGGAAGGACAGGCAGGGCAGAAAAGGTTGGGGAGTTGCACTGTATGTAAGGGAGCAGTATGACTGCTCAGAGCTCAAGTATGAAACTGCAGAAAAACCTGAGAGTCCCTGGATTAAGTTTAGAAGTGTGAGCACCAAGGGTAATGTAGTGGTGGGAGTCTGTTATAGACCATTGGACCAGGGGGATGAGGTGGATGAGGCTTTCTTCCGGCAACTCGCAGAAGCTACTAGATCGCACGTCCTGGTTCTCATGGGAGACTTCAATCACCCTGATATCTGCTGGGAGAGCAATACAGCGGTGCACAGGCAATCCAGGAAGTTTTTGGAAAATGTAGGGGACAATTTCCTGGTGCAAGTGCTGGAGGAACCAACTAGGGACAGAGCTCTTCTTGACCTGCTGCTCACAAACTGGGAAGAATTAGTAGGGGAAGCAAAAGTGGATGGGAACCTGGGAGGCAGTGACCATGAAATGGTCGAGTTCAGGATCCTGACACAAGGAGAAAAGGAAAGCAGCAGAATACGGACCCTGGACTTCAGAAAAGCAGACTTTGACTCCCTCAGGGAACTGATGCGCAAGATCCCCTGGGAGAATAACATGAGGGGGAAAGGAGTCCAGGAAAGCTGGCTGTATTTTAAAGAATCCTTATTGAGGTTACAGGGACAAACCATCCCAATGTGTAGAAAGAATAGTAAATATGGCAGGCGACCAGCTTGGCTTAACAGTGAAATCCTTGCTGATCTTAAACACAAAAAAGAAGCTTACAAGAAGTGGAAGATTGGACAAATGACCAGGGATGAGTATAAAAATATTGCTTGGGCATGCAGGAGTGAAATCAGGAAGGCCAAATCACATCTGGAGTTGCAGCTAGCAAGAGATGTTAAGAGTAACAAGAAGGGTTTCTTCAGGTATGTTGGCAACAAGAAGAAAGTCAAGGAAAGTGTGGGCCCCTTACTGAATGAGGGAGGCAGCCTCGTGACAGAGGATGTGAAAAAAGCTAATGTACTCAATGCTTTTTTTGCCTCTGTCTTCACGAACAAGGTCAGCTCCCAGACTACTGCACTGGGCAGCACAGCATGGGGAGGAGGTGACCAGCCCTCTGTGGAGAAAGAAGTGGTTCGGGACTATTTAGAAAAGCTGGACGTGCACAAGTCCTTGGGGCCAGATGCGTTGCATCCGAGAGTGCTAAAGGAGTTGGCGGATGTGATTGCAGAGCCATTGGCCATTATCTTTGAAAATTCATGGCGATCGGGGGAAGTCCCGGACGACTGGAAAAAGGCTAATGTAGTCCCCATCTTTAAAAAAGGGAAGAAGGAGGATCCTGGGAACTACAGGCCAGTCAGCCTCACCTCAGTCCCCGGAAAAATCAAGGAGGAGGTCCCCAAGGAATCAATTCTGAAACACTTAGAGGAGAGGAAAGTGATCAGGAACAGTCAGCATGGATTCACCAAAGGCAAGTCATGCCTGACTAATCTAATTGCCTTCTATGACAAGATAACTGGTTCTGTGGATGAAGGGAAAGCAGTGGACATGTTGTTCCTTGACTTTAGCAAACCTTTTGACACGGTCTCCCACAGTATTCTTGCCAGCAAGTTAAAGAAGTATGGGCTGGATGAATGCACTATAAGGTGGCTGGAAAGTTGGCTAGATTGTCGGGCTCAACGGGTAGTGATCAATGGCTCCATGTCTAGTTGGCAGCCAGTATCAAGTGGAGTGCCCCAGGGGTCGGTCCTGGGGCCGGTTTTGTTCAGTATCTTCAGAAATGATCTGGAGGATGGTGTGGATTGTACCCTCAGCAAGTTTGCAGACGACACAAAACTGGGAGGAGTGGTAGATATGCTGGAGGGTAGGGATAGGATACAGAGGGAGGATTGGGCCAAAAGAAATCTGATGAGGTTCAACAAGGACAAGTGCAGAGTCCTGCACTTGGGACGGAAGAATCCCATGCACCGCTACAGACTAGACAAATTGGAGGATTGGGCCAAAAGAAATCTGATGAGGTTCAACAAGGACAAGTGCAGAGTCCTGCACTTGGGACGGAAGAATCCCATGCACCGCTACAGACTAGGGACCGAATGGCTAGGCAGCAGTTCTGCAGAAAAGGATCTAGGGGTTACAGTGGACGAGAAGCTAGATATGAGTCAACAGTGTGCCCTTGTTGCCAAGAAGGCCAATGGCATTTTGGGATGTATAAGTACGGGCATTGCCAGAAGATCGAGGGACGTGATCGTTCCCCTCTATTCGACATTGGTGAGGCCTCATCTGGAGTACTGTGTCCAGTTTTGGGCCCCACACTACAAGAAGGATGTGGAAAAATTGGAGAGAGTCCAGCGGAGGGCAACAAAAATGATTAGGGGACTGGAACACATGACTTATGAGGAGAGGCTGAGGAAACTGGGATTGTTTAGTCTACAGAAGAGAAGAATGAGGGGGGATTTGATAGCTGCTTTCAACTACCTGAAAGGTGGTTCCAAAGAGGATGGATCTAGACTATTTTCAGTGGTAGCAGATGACAGAACGAGGAGTAATGGTCTCAAGTTGCAGTGGGGGAGGTTTAGGTTGGATATTAGGAAAAACTTTTTCACTAGGAGGGTGGTGAAACACTGGAATGAGTTACCTCGGGAGGTGGTGGAATCTCCTTCCTTAGAAGTTTTTAAGGTCAGGCTTAATTGGGGATCGGTCCTGCTTTGAGCAGGAGGTTGGACTAGATGACCCCCTAGGTCCCTTCCAATCCTGATATTCTATGATTTGGCTTCCTGAAAAGTCTAGGGCTTGATCCTACTTCCACTGAAGTAATAAATTTCATCTTTTTGTTATTTCTATTATTTTACCTGTTTCTTGTGCAAGTAGATGCAGCTGTGCATTCCACTTAGGTGTGTGTACGCCCAGTGCACTGGAACTGGAGAAAGTTGCTTAGCAGTTCCATAGAGGGGACAGGAATCCAGTCTTACCTACCACATTGTATGATGCTTGTGAGGTATACTGGTGAATAAGATTTGTGGGAGGGTATGTTGATGCTGCTTTGCAGATGTTCCATATAGTTTACTGATGGCCTAAGCTAACACGACTTTGTTGTACAAAAATCAGTACAATGCACTATATTCTATCTGACTTAAACAGACAATATATGAAGAGTATTTCTAGTTTAATTCAGGAAATAAATTATACAGAACGAACAGGAAGCCATCCTTTAAACTTTCTTTGCATAGTTAATATATTTAAACCCCCAAATTAAGCAAGAAAACATCCAGCTTTCATGACAAACATGCTTATGCAATGTCATAGAAGCCCACACCAATCAGCTTCTGAAGCTTGGAAGCCAGATGTATGTACTGGTTGAATCTCTATCGAAATATTCTTCTCTCCTCTGGCTAAGCCCATACAGCTTATATTAGCTCAGGGGTCATTTTGTGCAGAAATGGAAGGAAAAAAGAATCCCAATGAGTTAGTTTGTTCACCCAGTGATACTTCTGGAGACAAGATGCATTTGGTTTACTTAAGGAAAATATAGAGTCTCAAATGAGAATTCATCACTGCATGCGGAGAGAAACAGACCCACCACCTAATTGTACCTGTAGACACAGCTTCGACTTCTGGGAGAATTCCGAATTGGTACTCGCCAGTTAGGCCCCAGCGTGGCATACAGCCGACCCCTGTTTGTAAATGTAAACATGAGTTCTTTTCTAATACCATAAATGCTATGGTGAACATCCATTCAAAACATATAAGGAATAAAGTGAGAGAGACATATGATACTAATCTCTAAGTAAGACTACAAGGCATCTGTATTTACTCAGAAATGGAAAAGATTTAATTTTCACGTTTGTAATAAAAACAAGTATTTTCGACGTCTGTAAGAAGTGCAACATGTTTTTATGGAATACTAATCTTTGTGAATGAACAAACATAGGGAAAGATCCAGGTTGAGGTTGAACACTGCACACACAGCTTGCATTTGCTGGTAAAAAATAATTCACAATCTATGTGTTTGTGAATCTGTTTTCCATAGCTCAGAATAAAATATTTCCTTTTACTTGGATTTACTCTCCACTTTTATCTCTAACAAGGAAGGATTATTCTGAGTGTTCATTTTGGGAATAGATTATTTAGGAATTTGACTTTTGGATTCATATTCTTGCCATAATACGAAAACTGACATGAGGAATTCAGGAAACAAACAAAATAAACAAAACAGTTATAAAGATATTGCAAAAAGAATAACAAATTAGGGTTTTTTGAAATGCCATTTTCTCCCCATTGGGCACTGAACTTAGGATTTGCCCATAAATGCTATATAATGGGTTTCATTATTTCAATGACATACATATGATATGCTGATAACAGGCACAACACCAAAGCAGTTCCTATCACAGGACATTTTCCTAAGTGACTTCCAGGGCTCTACTAATTCTTCCCAGAGCAGGGTTGCCCTCTTACAGGATTTTTATTCCCTGCATGCCTTTCTGGAACTGACCCTTTAAGTATGGCACAACCAAGTAGCTGTAGCCCGGAAGGGGCCGTTTGGCAAGTGGTTTCCCTATCTTCTGTTAACTATCTGATGTGTTTTCCCTAGATTTTTGTTTCTTATTGAGATAGAGATAGCACATCCTTAAGTCTATTATCAAGGAAAGGAATTAAGTGTATGCTCTATTTTTAATGTGTATTTAGGAAGCTTTAGTCCTATAAGGACTGACGTGATAAAGGATAGCAGTTCTAAACTTAGTCAGTGGGTGTTTGTGGCTATAATAAATGTTCTTTAACAGATCATGCACTGTATTGTATGTGTATAGCTAATGCATACCCTGAAAAAAAAAAAAGCTACCATGCCTGCCCTGACCCCATTGTTTAATCTATGTTTGTACCAATTCAAGTTCAAAAGGGATACCGTTGTGTGAGATGCCTAATAATCAGGGTCTAGAGTATAAAGCTGATGATTCAACATATTTAAGATTTAAAATAAACCAATGTTTGGATTGTAAAGCAGGTTTTCTCAGACATATGGATTCACCTTAGATTTATTTCCTCACAGAAAGGAGTCATGCTGTAAACAGAAGCACACGTAACTCTACAGAAAATAATTCCCTCTGACAGCAAATAAGAGTAAATATCCCTTTTCAGTATAAAAATATACAGGTATAGGTTTCATCAGTAGTTTACAGAAAAGTTCACATACTAAGGTCCAAATTCCTCAGCAACTGCCTGCCATCTAGAGTCACAAAAACAGTCTGATGTGGGAATCTAAGTGGGTGCCTTAAACATAGCTTTTTATACTTCTGAAAACTGATGTGGTCTTAGTATTATACATATTTAGTTGCATTGGATTTATTGGAGCATTGTTTAGACATGGGGATTCAGGAAACTGTACACACTCTGGCATTATTTGGCCTGGCACATAAACATATAGAATTTGGCACTAGTATCTTTTTATTTATGGTAAAGTTTATTGATAATACTATTTTTAAAGCTTTTAATCCAGCAAGTCCTGCAAACTATAAGGCAATCTCTCCATTGACCCCCAAAGATATGAGGACAAAGCAGATGCTCTGCTGCTCCTTCCTGAAACACTGTTTTATTCAGATAGTTCACATGAAGTGGAGTGGGAGGGCAGAAGAGGAAAAGAATAAAGCAGAGTTTCTGATTAATCAGTTTACACATTAGTAACACATACAGCCAGCATGAGCTCCATTTGTAACATTTCCCATCCTCATTATGATCAAAAGGAATCATAAGAATGAGACCTCAGAATTGGAATGTGTGATGAGGCTTGTGAAAAGCCTTTTTATGGATTTACACTATTCAGATAATTCAATGTACTGTATTTTGGTCAGTTGACCAGTTTGCCTAAAGCTATAGATTTCACAGATTTCAAAGTTAGAAGAACAGCCGTGTTAGTCTGTATTCGCAAAAAATAAATTGCTTAGTCTCTAAGCTGCCACAAGTCCTCCTTTTCTTTTTTTGTGAAAGTTAGAAGAGACCACTGTGACCATCTAGTTTTACCTCCCATATCACACAGATTAGAGAATTTCACCAAATGGTTCCTGCAACAAGTCCAATAACATCTCCTTCTGTTAGAGCATAGTGTTTTAAAATGATATTCAAACCTGATTTAAAGACTCCAGGTAATGGAGAAGCCCCCATATGCATCAACTAAGTTGTTCCAATGATTAATTGCCCTCACAGTGTCAAAAATTTGCACTTTTTCCAGTTTGAATTTGCCTAGCTTCACCTTCCAGCCATTGGATCTCCTTCTGCTTTTCTCTGCTAAATTAAAGACCCTTCAACAGCATGGTCCACACAAACCTAAGTTTGATAACAACATAGTAATCAAATTACAATTATAATTATAAGTTCAGATTCTGCCACTGAAGGGGGGTTCCAAAGAGGATGGCTCTAGACTGTTCTCAGTGGTTGCCTATGACAGAACAAGGAGTAATGGTCTCAAGTTGCAATGGGGGAGATTTAGGTTGGATATTAGGAAAAACTTTTTCACTAGGAGGGTGGTGAAGCACTGGAATGAGTTACCTAGGGAGGTGGTAGAATCTCCTTCCTTAGAAGTTTTTAAGGTCAGGCTTGACAAAGCCCTGGCTGGGATGATTTAATTGGGGATCGGTCCCGCTTTGAGCAGGGGGTTGGACTAGATAACCTCCTGAGGTCCCTTCCAAACCTGATATTCTATGATTCTATGAAATCCAAAATACATATTTTTATGATGCATTTCTTCAAAATGTTTGTCATTTCTCTTCCTAAGAATTAGTTACCAATGATTTGAGAAGGATCTCCTGATTCAGAATTTTTCCTGTTACTGGAATATCCCTATTTTGGCAATTGTAACAGTTTCTTAGCCCCTAAAAACAATTAGCCCCTTAGTTATTTTATGTGGTATTGAGTGAGGAAAATGAAGACACTGAGTTATAACTCACCTTTCAAGCCCTGAAGACAGCTCCTCACTAAATTCTGAACTTTCACTACTTCCTAGAAAAGGAAGAATATAGATAAGTGAAAAGCTCAAGGAAAATTAAAATGGCAAGAACCTGGAATCACTAGGAGAATTTTGACACAGTACTATGGAAACTGATCACTGAAGCTAGGTCTGAAAGTTCCAATCTTTAGAGATCAGGATAAAATCTGACTTCAGAAATAGATTACATGCTCCTTCCTGTCACTGTGTAGTTCTGCTGAATGGGTGGTTGCTGCTGCTGTAATTTTAAATATACATCGTTTAAATGTGTCCTTTTGTTTTAATTTCATGCTGCTGCTATTCCTACAGAACTTCAATACTGCAGGAAGACAGAATAAAGTCAGGTCTGTAGAGTGACTTGGATTATTTCTACCCCAACATTTTAAAATTAAAATAAAGCTATTAGAGATGACAGTCACTGTCTTTTTATCAAGCAACAGAATTTGTAACATGGAGAACACATTAGTCCTGTGTCACTGTTTGGAGCCATGTGATATTAGCTTGATGCCATTTACATCAATGGTCCCTGTCCACTTCATGTCACTCATACCTTATCATTGACCCTGGCATAGCCATCTGACTGAAATGCAGCCTCAGCTGTGCAGAAACAGATTTTGCTGTAATCTGTCAATGACTGATCTGCTAATGCTGAGTATAAAGCAGAGTGGGCTCTCTCTCAATCCTGCATTTACCTCTTGGTTAAGAGGAATTCAGAAGTTTAGTGAAAATCCCACGTTCTTCTTGGTCAAAAGTACTTCTAGCCTGTCCATCTCCTTTCTACTATAGGGATAGGCTAAATCACATAAGGAAGTGCCTGTGGGATCCACAGGTCTTAGGTCTGCAGTTCCCCAGACAGCCTTTGCATTCTGGCTGCCACCTGGTACCCTGCTTGTAGCTAGGGGCTGAGAGACTAATGGAACCCTGGTCCCATCAGAGGTACCACCCACGGGTGTCCTGACTGGCAGGCTCATGCTCACTGATTGATTCAGCTGCACTATTTAAACCAAAAGGAGGCCCAAGAAGTGGACTCTGCAACAGGGTGAATTCCTGGTTGGCTGCTACATCAGACCCTGCCTTCTCACCTGACTACTAAGCCCTGCTTTTCTGACTTGTCCCCGGATCCTGTCCTGTTCCTGATCCCTGCCCCTGGCATCTGACTCTAGCCCTGGCTCTGACCCCTGGCTCAAGACTCCTGACTCGATTTGCAACTCTGACTCAGATTCCTGGTCCGACCTCTTATTCTGGCTCCAACCCCTGGCTTGACTCCTGATTCCTGCTCTGATCTCTGGCTTGATTCCTGATTATGGTTCCAGCTTTAGGCTTGACTCCGGCTATGACCACTAGGTCTGACTACTCAAGCCTGGTTGTGATACTGACTTTCTGTTGACTACTGTGCAGATTCTTAGTACTGTTTGAAACATGACTACAGCAACATGCACCAGAGAACTTTTACTGCATGCCAGCAAGGTCCTCATGGGCCAGTTAGTTTGTGACACACTAGTGCGCAGTAGAATTTACACCCTTCTGGAGTGGACTAATGCAGTGTAGATAAGCCCACAGTCATGCTTTTATGACCATAACACCCTGCTGCCACCAGCATCCTTCTTCTGTAGAATCCTAATGAAGTAGTTGATGTCTCACACAGGCCAGAGTTACTTGCCCTATGTTACTCCTGGGGGAATTCTGCACTACTGTGCGTGTGCAGAACTCATGTCCCCCGCAGATTTCTTTGCTTCCCCACAGAAAAATGACTTTCTGACAGGGAAGCAAAGGAAGCTGCAAGAGCAGTCACACACCACTCCCTAGCAGCGCAGGTACAACATTTCAGGCACCCAGAGCAGCCGGCAGAGAGATCAATCACCATGGGGCTAGGGACACCCCAGCCAGTGGCTCCTACCCTGAGCCAGGATCAGCTGCTAGTCCCGGCTGGGCTGGAGGCAGGAGAGGATGGGACCTTCCTCTTCCCCTGTAAAGAGTGGCTGGGGCTGTGTCAGACCCACCCCCAGAAACCTCCCCCAGCTGCAGAAAGCTCAGCATCCTCCCCTGCTGCCTGCCCCCATCACTCCTCAGCTGTGGCAGGAGGGGTCACTGTACGGGGAGCTGCTCCCACATCCACCCAACCTCTGTACATCTGGACCTCCCATACCCAGATACCCCTGCAAGCCTCACCCAGTACATCCAGAACCCCCCTATCCCTCCATATCTGAACCCCACCCCACTGAACCTTAACCCCTGCATCTGGAGCCCTCCTGCAGCCAGACCCCCCCACCTCCAGACCCCCACCCCTTCACCCAGACCGCCTCCCACTGAGTGCACTCAAACCCCCACCCTGATGCAGCAACCCCTGCACCACCCTGAGCCCCCACATCTAGACCCCCACACCACTGACCACAAACTAGCTGCACCAGACCCCACCCCATCAAGCCCACTCCCTCAGCACCCAGACTCCCCCACTGAGCCCCCCACACCCAGACCCCTCTGCTGAGCCCCAACAACCTTCACCTGGAAACCCCTGCAGAGTCCCATTGCCCCTGTACCTGGAACCCCCCAACAAGCCCCTGTGCATCCAGATCTCCCCACACCTAGACCCCCCACTGAGCTGCCTGCACCCAGATTGTCCCACACAAAATCCTCTCACCCCACACCTGGATCCCGCCACACTGAGCCCCCCACACTTGGATCTTGACTGGTTAAGCCTGCCCACACCTGGTGTGCCTGGCACAGAGGGGCAGGGCCCCAGGGTGTTTTTGGGACAGGCCCAGGCCTTGTGCTGTGTCAGGGTTGGGTGCAGCCTCACCGCTGAGTCTGTGTCCTGGGCGTGGGGGGGCTGCAGGGTGATCTTCCTCCTCTGTGCACCTAGTGGCCTGTGCTCCCCACTGTCATGCTGGAGCCTCTGCATTTATTTAGTGACAAATAAAACTTGTAGAATTTTGCAGAATTTTAAAATATTGTGCACAGAATTTTTAATTGTTTTGGTGCAGAATGCCCTCAGGAGTATTGCTATGTGATGTGCTAGCAGTTGCTAGTAAGACAGCAAGAGTAAGGTAAATTGAATTTTGATGATTCAGCCTCTGGCTGGAACAATGTAGATTTCCCATTTGATTTAATCACAAGGCATCTTGGCATGTTAGTCTGGGAAGGAAACTGTCAGCCTTAACTTTAAGGCTAATTTGCTTTTGCAAGCAGCATAACAGTGACATTTTCATGAGGAATACACCAGTGAATGAAACAGTTAATCTTTTTTGTTTCAGCTTTCTTTTACAACAAACCAGAACTGGGACAAAGGTCAGAAGGATCACGTGAGTAGCTTAAATGACCCAATTGCACAGTCCTGTCTTTAGAATGGACATTTGTTTCAGATTAATTTCCTCAAAACTGCAAAGATTGAAAACCTCAATTTTTCCTATCTTGAATAAGTTGTTTTGATTTTCTTCCATATAGACTTGAGCTACAGTAAACCAGTAAAAGACTAGAAAAGGTTTTATGGCTCTAATTATTGACAGTAAGCTTCTTTAAACAGTTCCTATCCTTAAAAGCATAATGACAGGTTTCAGAGTAACAGCCGTGTTAGTCTGTATCCGCAAAAAGAACAGGAGGGTTGTGGCACCTTAGAGACTAACCCATTTATTTGAGCATGAGCTTTCGTGAGCTACAGCTCACTTCATCGGACGCACTCATCTGACTGAAGTAGTGAGCTGTAGCTCACGAAAGCTCATGCTCAAATAAATGGGTTAGTCTCTAAGGTGCCACAAGTCCTCCTGTTCTTCTTAAAAGCATAGCGCACTAATGCTCTTCTTTCTTTTTACTGTGGTTTGCTCAGGTTACTCTGCTTCCTATCTGCTCCTGGCAATGCCTTCATTATAGGACAAACCCCAGGCCAACCTCACTTTACACTAATACAGGTTAAAAACATGGGTCTTGTGCAAAAATAGCTCTTACACTTATTCTCATTTCATTAGGGAGCTATTTGGTGGTAAAAAGTGCTGGTTTGACATCCCATTTATGTACAGCATGGACATTGGCAGAACTTCCCCCAGACCCTTTCTATCTTGTTCTAGCAAGACAATCTCTAGCGGGGGGAGAATAAATCTGTGTGGATGAGTTGAGCTAAGCTGCACAAAAACTGAGTGGGTTCACAAGGCCTCGGGGCAGCTGAGAGGTGGTTCCAATCTACTTCCTCCCAAAAAAGTGACCAGTCTTTGTTTGTTTAAAAGCTAAACAATCTTTCTGCTTCTGTAGTTATAGGTGCCATTGCATATTTTCAAGCAGCAGAGACAGACAAGCAGAGAATTCAGCGAGCCATAGAGTTCTTACCTATGGAAATTCCATTGGTGAAAACTGAGTTTAGAGTGTGGTTTCTGACAGGACTGTGGGATTCTAGGACACTGTCATCCAGCAGGTGGCGTGGCTTCTCTGTTGGAAACGTTGCACTTTTACTTTCAACTACACTGAACTGACACATCATACTGGAAAGTTGGGAAAGAAAAAAAATTCAAAAGCTCTTATGTAATCTGATAACATCCATTCATCCCTGTTTTTTTCCCACTCAGACTTTGCCTCACCATACAATGATCATAACTGTCAATAAGTTTTTTAATGGCAAGCAGTTAAATGGGACTTCTCACATTTTCCTACTGCTCATACATATGCTGCATTTAAACCTAATCAGGCTTTGGATTTAGTAGTGTGTATAGTTAACAATTGTTGTATTTGTGCAGATGGGAATTTATTACTTTTAATTTATTTGCTCTGACTCCTCACTGTATAGAGGCTGTGTAATCTAGTGGTAAGAAGCATAGATAGGAGACTGCATGCTACACAGCTAATTCACTGCTGAATGATCCTCAGTTAACCTTATCAACAGACACTGTGTGATACTGGACAAGTCACATGAGCTCTCTGCCACAGTCCATCCTCTTGTAAAACTGGGTAGATGTAGAAAGGAGATGCTGTCACTGATCTGAGTTTTCCTCAATAAATGGTGAAGAGGGAGTCTCTCTCTAACCCATACAATTCAGCTAATACAGTACAGAAAGGCCACAACTTTTCAGAACAGTAGTGCGTGCCAAGGAGATTGTAACGTTCCTTGGATGGATCACTGAGATGTTAAAAATCTGTTATGCACATCAGTGCCATTCTTATACTATCCACTTTGATTTGTGTGAATGTCTGAAGTGAGTATTGCCAACTATTCCTGGCACTAGCAGGAAGCATGGTTTCAGTCAAAACAGAAAAGTGTTAAGACATCTTTCTGGAAAATCCTGAAGCACACAAACTAATGCCTGAATCACTCCTATAGGACTAGAAATGGGAGAGGGGCATAAGAGGAAAACTGACTGAAATATCTAAGAACTTTCAACTGCTGGATTAATCCCTAATGATGCTTGAACTGACAGAAGCTGAGACAGTGTGGAGCACCCACTTGTTTCCCAGGCTGTTACTCTTCCTGTGTCTTGGTACAGGAGGGGTTGGGAGGCTGGCTGCCACTGAGGCATCAGGACAAGTTGGTCTCCTGCTGAACCTCACAGTTGCTGACACCTCTGATGGACCTAAAAGTAGAAATAAATTAATGCTGAACTGATGCAAAAAACAGAAATTTCAGGGGCTGGTTTTGGTTATTTTCTGTGTTTGAGAGGGCTCAGAAATCCAGCAGAGATTTTCAGAAATAACGTCTGATGATTAAACAGCCACTACTTAAACTGGATTGTTACAGATCTCAAAAGGCAGCTGCATTTATGAAATAGTGTCTCTTGCCTACTGGGTTACACCATCTGTTTTTATAAAGGATCCGTCCAATTAAAGCAAAATGGAAATGGAAGTCATCCTCAAAACATTCCTGCACATATTGTTAATGATGGACTCCCACAAAAAGTCTTGGCCACTTACAACTGTTGGATTTGCCAACACATAACTTGCACAGCCATAAAGTCAGTTTGTGCTTCAAGGGTAAGCAGTCATGTCTAACAAAACATATGTTCTGAATTTGGTTCGAAACCCATCCAGCTGTAAACAGTTTGCTCATATTGACTCATAGCATGAATATCTGAGAGAAAGCGGGGACTTTTCACGTAGCTTACAGCCAGACAGATGTGTTATTTCTCAATTATCTATGATCTTTGGGAATTTAGGAAAGTCTCACTGAAAATTATCCTCCTTCTCATTTCCCAGATTTTATCAGGGTCCATAGTCACCATGCAAGGCTGCTCTCATCCCTCCTCCTGAATGCTGTTTGCAAGAGGCTTGCATGATCTTGACCAGGAAGCAGAGAACAACACAGTTAGCAATTTCTTATGTCTTTGGAGGTAGGTTACTGCACTTGAGGCTGTTCTTTGTTTCACAGTAAGATTAAACAGTTCTATTTCACTTTTAAACTGTTTAGTTGTGACTTTACCACTGGTGACAGACTCCAGAGGGATGGCCTTGGAAGAGGCTGCTCACATGGTCCCCAGTTCAGGTACAGCTCAGGCAGCAGTAGTGCAAGCTTCCCCAGTATTCTACAGAGAACACTTCTTGAGGGTTTGAGAAGAGCTTAGCATCTGTGGCCTCTCTGCTGAAAATGCCCCTAGGGGACCAACTGCGATGGAAATTTTGTGATATGAAAAGCCATGTCTAACTGACCAAACGTCCCCCTCTCCTCATCCCAAGTTTAAAGCTGAGATATCTTTTTGGTTTGGACATATATGTGCTGGAAATAGATAGGTGCCATCAGCACCCATATAGAGGAGCTTTGGTTTAAAATGTTCCTAAATTGAGGCAGAAGAACATTCCACTTCATAATGTAAGAGTTGGGTTTGGAGAAAGGCTAATATCAGGAACAGCTGGGCATCTGCCACACAGGCCAAACACCATGAACAGGACAGGCATAGAATTTGTTCCACAACAGTTTCTCCTGCTTTGGCCTGAGAGCTCATGACACAGACCGCAGTGAGTCAAAGAGCAGTTGCTTCCTCAAGAAAGAACAGTGCATCCATTAATAAGAGGGAGCTGCTAACTGGAAAAGAGTTGATATTATAAAATAGATCCAGGACTTTTTACTGTCCAGTCGTCAGCCTGGAGTTTTACTTATTTAGGCGAAACAGATAGACCTTGGTGAAAGATTATTTACACTGTAATTTCTCCATATTGTAGGCTCAAAGATGCTACCATGAGCTGTGCCATCAGTAGGAGCAAATTACAGTGGCTTCTCAGTGTCAGCAATGGGAAAACTAACTGTTCAGCTTCCCAGGAGCACCTTTTATCCTACTTTTTAGTTGGACAAAGAAAGTGCATAGGGACAAACCAATATTGTGGAAGGAGAGAGATGACATTGGTCCTTATAACCAAAAGAGAGGAAATAAACACTTTAAACGTATCATTTACTGCATCATCATTTGGTGGGTACACACAAAGAGAATTTATCTGCTTTTGTCTTTCACCTTTTTTCCCAATGCTCATCTGAATGTGTTCTCTGTTGCATTTGTCCTTGCTACAACTTTTTTATCACATGAATGAAAATACATGACACTTACCAAATTGGAGCTTCTGTACAGGTAAGATGAAATAACAGTTATACTCTGCATTTATAGAATTTAGTACATACGTGGAAGAACAGAATCCGATGCTTACAAACATGATAGGTAAGTAAACATTTTTACCAAGAAAAGGACCACAAGGAAAGGACTTCTTCAGGCATAGCTACTCTTTCTATGTATAACAAAGAACTTGCTGGTCACAGAGTAAGCAAACTAAATGTAATGGAACAGTACATTTTTTTAATGGAACCTTGAAATAATGGTGGCCACCCTCTGAAAAGATCTGGACAAGACGGAAATGATTAAAATCAGCACTTTTAGTTGTCACAAAGTATAACCAAAGTTTCTATTTCACTCAACCTCTGGCAGATAAAATAAGGGGTTTTAACTTTGGTCAAGGAAATCCCTCCCTCAGCATACATTCTATTACAAAGTGCATATATGATAGTTCATTGCAATTCATAGCTGTTTAACATGAAGATGAATTCAACTTCCATTCTGGAGATCTAGATATTTTGTTTCCTGAGCAAAAAAGATTTAGTTGTTGCTATAGTGTAGTTTCCAATTTAACAATGCGAGTCACATGATAAAAAGTCATTTACACACAGTTGCTATACAATAGGATCTCAAAATATAATTAAAAATTTTCTAAAACTCCACAGTTCTGAGGGTCTAAGTTCTTTGTAACTTTTCTTTGTTTTCTAATGTGAAAAGTCAGTTAGCTCAAAGCAATTAAATGTCTTAAAATCTGTAGCAATCCACTGCACAAAAAAACCCCCCAAAAACTTTCCCTCAGAAAATGAACAGCAAGGGAAAATTCTGTCCTGAAATAGTCATAAATAAGTCACTGTGAAGTTGATCAAAGTTGTGCACAAATAGAGCCACATTGTGCTTGAGATAAGTGTTTTAAATAACTTATAGGTTCAAGTGCTATGCCAATCAAAATGAGGAGAAAGAAATTACATATCACATTAAATATATTTCATTAAGAGTTTCTTCTGTAGAGTCACACTCTTGGAAATAATACCCTCTTAAGGCAGCAGAGGGTGCAATTCACAAGATTGTGAATAAATAGAAGCCCTTGAACAAAAATATTAAGATTTAAAGTTGCAATGATTATAATTAAGGCTATGATTTAGTCATGGATATTTTTTGGACAGGTAATGGGCAATAAACAAAAATTCTTGGCCCCATGACCGGTCCATGACTTATACTATAAATACCCTGGACTAAATTGTGGGGCGGGGTTCTGCTGGGCGGGAGTGCACTGGGGGGCAGCCCGGGCCAACAGCATCAGCTGCCCAGGGTCCGCTGAGCAGCGGCTGCTCCGGCCACCGGGGGACCACCAGCAGCGGCTGCTCCGGCCACCAGGGGACCACCAGCAGCGGCTGCTCCGGCCACCGGGGGACCACCAGCAGCGGCTGCTCCGGCCACCCTGGGGCTGCCTGAGCAGAGGCTAGGAAAACTGGCTCTGTGGCTACTCCAGCAGCAGCCAGTGTGGCTGGCTGCAGGGCTGCCCAAGTGGCTGGCTGCAGAGCTGCTCCAGCAGCATCAGGTGTGGCTGTCCCTGGGGCCACCTGAGCAGCAGGCCCCGGAGTCAGCTGCCTGGGTGGCCCTGAAGTCAGCCACACTGGCCACTGCAGAAGTCACGGAGGTTGCAAAAAGTCACAGAATCCGTGACTTCTGCAGTAGACAGGGAACCCTAATTATAATTCCTTTTAAGGAGACTAAAAGAGCTTTCAGATCGAGCAGATATTAAGACACCAAAACACTAAAAACTAAACCTGGTTAAAAAAAATGGTGAAACCCCTCTTAATGTATGCAAGAGGACTGGATAACTCAGATTGGGGATAGGTTATGGAGCCTTTCACCTCTAAAGTATTTGTTCCAATCAGGCTCATGTTGAGAGAATAGCTGGCTTGTGGGGGAGGGTGAAAGCAGAAGGAGGATATGGGGCCTTTCACCTTAGGGCACCAGTTCAAATCTGACCATCTGGTAGTGACTGACAGTCGTTACTATTTCATCAGTCTTGTGAAATGAGGTTATTGTCTAATTCCAGTTCCTGATGAACCAGTCCATATCACAACTGATCTCCCTAATGGTAGTATCTGTCGTGAGACTACTGAATGAACAGGAGACAGGTTATCCTGAGCGGTAAGATAGGGTGGGGAGGCTTGCATGGCTGCTGCCGGTGCTGTAACTATTCGATGGATGAATAGTTCCCAGCACTAAATTCAGTCAAACTTAAAAGAAAGTAATGCATATTTTATCAAACTGTCCAGGATGCTGAGCAGAGACAGAACCCAGAAAATGCTGTTTCGTCTCCCTACAGGAAATTCCTGCTCTTCTTTTACCATGGGATTGACACCTTGTTAGTAGATTATTTATAGTCTCTAATGGGGGGAGGCGGGTCAGTAGAAGTGATTCATTTTAAATGAAACCCAAAAACTATTGCTTTTTGTGTTTGCTGTAACTAATAAGGGTTGGAACACTATAAGACACAGGCTCATATTGGCATGTTTCTTCCTTTATACAGCATGGCTAGAAAGGCAACATCTGAGAATCCAATGCACATATTGATGTGCCTTCTGGTATTTTATTCCATTTGCATGCAGAAAAAAATTGGAAACTTCCAAATAAAATTCATAGAAGTCCTGTTATTAATTTCTGCAGTCATTCACAATGTACAGACTCAATGTAATTAAAGCTACAAAGCCAAGATAAGGTAAATTAACTATCAAACAATAGTATGCATTCCCTGTCTGAATATGAATTTTTCTCTTATTTATTATTTAGAAGTAATGCTTTGGGAGACGCTTTCTCCAAACATTAGTGGACCCTGTTACATTCCATTATTTACATAAATAATTTAAGGATGATCAACTAGAAATATCCAGTGAAAGTAATACTGCAGGCCCTGCTTTATTGCCTGCTACAAAAAACTTCTGTAATGAAGATGATTAGGAATATCTGTCATACCTAATATGGATGCTGTCACTGTACTCTAATCCCTCAAATGTTCAGTCAACTGGAGCTCA